ATGAACCCAAGGACCTTCCGGACCTCGTCGTTAAACTGTCTGTTGACAAGGAGGAGGCTAAGGGCGGGATTTTCTGGCTGGATGCACCAGATTCCTCTGTGACGAATCCCACGACTTCGTGCATGCTGACTGACTGAGGGAGAGGCTGGCGGCGTAGCGGGAGAGCCAATGGCCAGATCAAAGATCTTCTGGCGAGTCTCGCGAGGGAGTTGAGACAGGCTCATGACTTAGGCTTGATGGTAGAGTTTGATGGATTGTTGGGTAAAGGTGGTACTTTTCTTGTGAGACAAAGAGGTGCTGACATGCGAGATAAAGAAGAGGCGGATTGTGCCTGGAATATATAGTTCCAGTGATGGTGAGTCAGCAGGCTCGTTGCCGAATGACGGGGGTAGTTCACCTGCGGCCAAGATCTTTATCCACGGATGTCTTTTGCACTCTTAATGTTTTACCTGTATCCTGGAACAATCTACACTTTGGACGGCGTTGACTATCACACATTAGTCAGCCACTGCAATTCTAACACTCGCCCAGGCATCCACGTGAATTTGGCTAGCACTAGGCGAAAGTGCCGCATCCTCTCTGGGGGTATCAACGGAGTTCCGACAGGATGCTTCTTGGTCAGCAGCTAGATCTTTCTGTGTTAAGACTGACCACGAAGATGGCAGAATTAGACCGAGTTATAGAGGAAGGGATTTTTTTTACAAAGAGAAGAGGTATGGGCTATGACCCGCACCGGAGGTATGCTTTGCTAACGTATGTGGACAACTGTATTTCTCATTCATCCTATGCCTCAAAAGGGCCCTGAAAAATGATAGCAATGGTCATGGTCATCGTTAACATATGAAGGCATCAAATCCCATTGTTGTAAAATACCGTAAGCTAGCGTTAATGACTGTACCTATTGTGTTTCATATCGTGGCTGACGGCCTCTGTTAGCGATGCCGTCGAGGATAGAGAAGGAGACGGTTGGCAAGTACATTATGCAGCTTACCAGCTAGAAACCCGATAACAGAAAGATCAGGTTTCCTTCTCTTGACTGGCAACCATGGGATGGAGGCTGGTTTCCTATGTCATGGCTGACGTGACCAAGTCTGCGCACTCAACCTAACGGGATGAATAGGTTCTTTGTGACTAAACCGGGCAGACCGTCTTGAGAATTTTGCAAGAGGAGAAGTCACATGTCTATAGACGGACCAAGAATTCTTCCATGAGTCAAACCGGCCGGCGAGGTGCACCCGGCCCGATACAACTAATATTGCTGTGGTACAAACCAAGAACGGTTGAATGAACCTCCTAAAGCCTGTTCTGACAAGCTTGAAAAATCTCTTCCCGCATCGGCGAGATGAGCTCGCGGTTTGGCACTTCTTAGATCCAATTCCCTCTTCTTATTAGTATCAATGACGTCTCCAACGGAAATAGAACTCATCGGCTACAATATGTAAGAATAAAATAATTAACACATGGCAGAATTAACGCCCAATGTTGCGAATAACGCAAGAGTCCCTGCCTTATATCGTCAAGGTCTCGGAGGGAGACAATGTAAGGTTGCGGGGGCAGGGGCTTCGGAGCAATTAAGCAGAAACATCACAGCCGCACTTGAGCTAGGTACATGTGAGCGCTAGGTTTGGGCTTTGCTGGGAGGGTGATTGGCACACAAAGACTGCCATGATTGGAACCCTAGTGATATAGAGTGCCGCAGCCTAAAAGATGACTTGTCAAAGGTATTTTGTTTCAGGTGCACCAAGCCCAATCCGCTTCATCACTTTGTCATGTAACCAAACCAAGACAGACATCGGTAAAACTAGGTGGTGATCTGTGGATAGTCGTGGAGTTATGCTACTAGCATACTTCGAAAAGAAAAAGAAAGACGCATATGGCCGTGAAGATCAATGCAGCTATGTCTGGTGGAACTTGACTGACCATCAAGGGTAGTGAAGCAAGGGAAGAGGAACAAAATATATTAGCGTTGCCTTGCAAAAATATGGATTGAACATTGATGCTCCCCCGGGAAGGCTCGAACTTCCGATCTCCCGATTGTCTACTAATAACAGTCGGACGCTTTAGCCAACTAAGCCACAGGGGATAGGGACAACATTGTGAGCTCATTGGTTGGGATGCGATCCTCAAGCAGGATACATCACTTGAGTGTGACGATGTGTCTACTTGACCAAGATGAGAAAAGGTGCGCCAATGTGCACTTTTCTCAATAGTTGCGGCCTGGCCCTTGATGGGGTAACTAAGCTAAAAGATCGGAGAAAGGTACGAGTTGCAACGCTGCGTCTGTACAAGCGTGAATATGCCAAAGAGCATATCGTCACGCACCCGTGGTAAAGATGAGACATCGTCAGTGGAGTATAGAAGGATGGGCATAGAAAGATGGGTGGTGATGTGGATCCTGCATCTACAGGTCCATCACTATAGGCGTGACTGCGAGGAGCATAGCTTCGGATATGCTGACGGCCGCGAAGGCAAGTCAGCAAACACCCACGAGCGCAGAATAGGCCTTTTTGACACGAGGTAGTGCCTACCAGTTCAATGGGGAGGAGACTAAGCTATCAGATTTGGAATGATTGTGCTGACTTTACGTATTTGGCTCGTTACACAAGGGTACCATTCGTCGTCCTAGTCTGTTCGCCCTACCCATCTAAGTCCGCGGCTTCACACATCTCAATACTCATACAAAATCACGTCCCAAACCGCATCTCAAAATACCTCAACAAGTTGTCATCTCTGTTACTATTTGAACTTTTACCTTTGAAAATGCGTATCGGATGTGCCGCCGACTTGGTTTGCCTCAGCGCCGGCGTTCACTCCTACAAGATCCGCGCATACGGTTCAATGAACTGCTAAGCTCTGACAACATAAATGTCTGGAACAACACTTGTGCCATGCCTGGTGTTCACTGACAGTACTTTGAGATCCTCAGCTATGGCGGCCATCGCCAAAGAACCTTTTTCTATGCCGATGGCACATTCAACTGTTCAATCAGTGATACTACTTAAAAAGTTTTGGGCGGATGGTGGTTACCCCACCTTTCGGAAGCACTACATGCATCAACTTGAGGCTCTCTGAGGAGGCATATGGTTCTAATCTATGATGGAGAGAGAACCTGTGGTATGGGAAACCCTGTAAATCAAGGATTGCCATTGATTTAGTAGGAAGAATCTTGATATTGAGAACTATGGATGTGATATTTGGGAATAACTTGGCCATTTAGCGGCATAAGGGGTTTTGATTTGTTCGATGATTTTCCCTTGCTTAATTGAGTTTATGATAACCAAATCCGGCATTGACTATCCAGGTGTACCTGAAGCCAGATCTCCTGTGAGGGGCGAATTAGAAGTTGATGCTCTTGCCTTCCGGTCAGCCGCGAGGAACCTACTATACGGTTCGCTGTTAGCATTACCCTCCCAGGAGTAAATTGACATACGGCATCTCTTTTTAACGGCATTAGTGTCAAACCTGCGTCTTTACTCAGAATAGCTCTTCACAGCCTTCTATAAGACTTAGGGGAAGACAATTCGAGGCTTTATCAACATCTAGGTTGATTCTCTATTTAGTCCTATTCGTTCAGCATGAGAGATGTGATGCTCGGCCTGTCAGAAGGTTGAAAGAAAGTAGGAGTTAGCGTCTGAAATGCGTGGGGGAAATTGGCGTGTGAAGCGGATTGGATGGAATGCCTGGCCTGGTGGTTCGTACTATTCCAGGTCCCCGGAACTATCTATAAAACACGTACGGAATCAGCATATATAGACTGGATTCGATCTCCTAGATTGGTAAATACATTAAGGGCCAGGCTGCAACCATAATAAAGAACACGTTATCAACACATCATAGAATCATGACCCGATGCTAAATAGACTATAACCATTGCCTAGTAAGAGAACTTTTTCACTGAGGCATACTAGACAAGGAGCAGAAACAGTTTTCTTAAAGTTCTCTTAATACACCAAACCGCCACCAACCACAGTGGCGGGCATGGGCTTGTTGGCCTTGTGATAACGAGATCCGACATGGTGAGAGATTCGTGATCAACAGCATCAGCAGGATTATCAATTCCATTTGGCCATACTGCAGTCAGATATCCTCTCACTGGAGGTTATCGATTTGGTGAGAGGCCATTGTTTTGATCTGACCAGATGCCCGAAAATCTCTCTCCATCTTGCTCTTCGCGTATTTCTGTAAACGTAGTAAAGTGTTCTTTGCTAAAGCTGAAACCTCGGTCTCAATGGGATAACTAAGCCAGAAGACCATGTAAATGCAGTGAACGCTCAAGATGTCGTAGCCAGATCTAGTTACAAAGTCTGGGGCATCGGTTGGTGGCTCGATTGCCCGTGGAAAAAAATGTGTTGTCAAGAGCGTGCATGTCTGAACTCTTTTTCAGCCGTGGGTAATAGTGATGTATTAATACATCCAAGGCCGGTGCTTTCAGCTCTTCTGGATTTATCATGCCTGTAGATTTCGCTCCTGGCCCCAGGCGGTGCCGGGCCGGACTTCGGATCCGGGTGCTCGGAGGTGGGGCCGGTGACAAAAAACTGACCACCCAAAAATAAATCATGCACTAGACCTAGACTAGTAAAGCGTCAGATCAAAATCGAGTGGGCCAGGCAAACACATACGGGCCCATGGAATAGCAGCCAACTCAATTACCTGCTTCCAAGGTGCTACGGCACAGCGTTTATTCATATCTTGGTGTCTTGATGCTTTCACCCCTCGTTATGTTGTCTTAATACTCGGAGCCCAATGTGATGTTTCCTCAAGAGGCGATTTGCGCACGCCGTGCTGACAATCACACGCGATTCCCATGATGTTCCATGATATAGGTGACTAACATGCATCATCATGGCAACAACAACATCTTAACTCATAAAACATTCAATACTCATCAGTGTTAAATACTTTGTCGACTGGTTCTCGTTCTTCGTGTTTCTCATCTACAGGTCATTTCATCTCATCGAATGCGCGCCAAGTATCATACATCATTCCAACACAGTGTCTCATTATTGGCCAAGCTCCTTTCCCTTCCTATTTTCTGCCATGCGATCAACCGCATCCATGAACCCGGGGAATCCATCAATCAGTGGCTTCAAGTCTGTAACATGAAGCTTAGGAAGCTTGCGGAGGGTCTCTGCTCCCACCATGGCCTGTGCATCCTTGGCCTGATCATCCTCTTGCGTTTCAAGTTCTGCCTGCAGATCGACCACCTGCTGTGCCACTTCAGCTCGATTTCTCTTTGCTTTCTTCAATTTTTTAACCTCAATATTATCCCTTTGAGATGCCAAATCGTGCTTGATGATTGCCTTGTCTCGGCTATGTGTAACCTGAGCGAGATACGTCTCTGGCGGTGCATCAAGAGTCCCGACAGCGTTTTCAAGTGCCGCGAAAAGTGCCTCAGCCACCTCCAACATCTTTGTCGCCCGAACCAGGTTATCTTTTGCCTCGGCTGAGGTCTTATTGTGCTTGGCCACCTCTCCCTCGTGGCGTTTGTGGATATCCCTAGCATGGTTCAGATTTCGCTGTTGTTGTTCTGCCCCTGAGGCCTGCTCCCGACCTGCCCTGGCAATCAAAAAGCCGACCGAGGTTTCGCATTGTTGGATGACGTTGCTGAGACCAGTTCTGAAGTCTCTTTCATCACTGCTGGGAAAAGGGAGGGTAGATGCCGTGTGATCGTTGATAGGGCCCTCGGGGGATTGCTCATCGTCACGAATCGGGCTCATCGAACAGCGCGGAACTTGAGAAGCCACCATCAGTTTGTGGCTGTCGATGGCAACCCGATCGGCTCGCACCCCGGAGGCGGTGCTGGTTCCAAATGCCGATATATTCAGCTGGGGATCGACAGTGATAGAGTCTCGTGGGTGCTCTGCGGTTGATGGTGAGCTATGAGTCGCGGACTGTGGTATGGTCTCCGCCGAAGATTCCCTGGTTAGTCTCTTGTTTCGAAGGCCCGGTACTGCATTATCCTCATCGCCATTGTCTTCTCCAGCGCCCTGCCCGCCGCCGAAGAAATGGTACTTGGCCGCCCTAACGTCGCTTGCCTCCAGACTGGTCCGCTTTTTGAGATCGTGCTCCTGCACCTTCTCGAGGAGGAAGGACTTGATCTCGTCGAAAGAGTACGGCGTGGGGTTGCGTTGCTTCTTGACCACATTGACGAGCGATCGAAACTCCTCAACCAAGTTCATAGACCATCGTGTGTTTGGGCATTCGGGAATGAGCTCCATGGGAGTCTTGCCCATGAGTTTTTGAATGCCATCAATGCCCTTTTGTGTGCGCGCTGGAAGTCTCGAGAGGCCATCGGGAGGCGTCCCAGCTGGCGTACCCTGTGTATCCGACATGATGGCCGGAGCACCATGCGGATTGATTATGCAGAGGGCGTATAGGTTGATGAGGGATCCAGATGGGGCTCGAAGAGGATGTGAAATGGAGAAAGTTGGACCGCCATGACTTCACATGGTAATTAGTGTGCCGTGTGGTGCCGATGGGCGCGAGGCGGTACAGTGAGGCGCACTTTCCTGTATGTATGTGTAGCCTGAGGGTGGTCACGTGATAAATTCCATGCGACCTTGCGAACGTTCGACCACCACGCGACTTCGAGCGCCGACCTAGTCTTCCATGCAAAGTCGCGGGATTTATCGCTGTGTCGCGGATCATGTCGCAGAACTTGGTGACGCAATAGCAAAAGACTTGAACATTCATGGGAAGATGCGGACGACACTTTCAACCACTAAAGCATCATCACTTTTCCAATCTTATACCTTTTGACATATTTTTTTATTATACTTCTCACATTGACAGGTACGGATGATGCACCTTGAAACTGGCCAGGGTGGTCCTCATTTCAGTGTACAAGTAGAATTTGATCTCTCTTGCCCGCAGGCATCTTCTCACTCCTTTTGGGAGGACTAGTATTGGTGAAGTGGTGCTGGTCAGCGTTTGAGACTCCATCAAGTCCGACCATATCACTCCCTTTATTGCCAAACAAAAGCGTAATTTCACATTCGAACTCCTTTAATTTAACTCTGTCACCGAAATTCTTCTGCATACTGTTTTGGGCGACTGCGTGGTAGGCTAGTCCAACCACTGTGGCGAACTATATGACGAGTTTAGATGTAATTCAGATGTATTATGGATAAAGAGTGCAGCTGCTGGAGTATTCATATTTCTTAGTCTCTGGATCACGAGATTGGGTGTTCTGATGGGGTGGAGGAACATAGATCTGGGTTCACTGATATATCGACTCTATGTAAGGTGTAATTTGCATTCCTATAGTAAACTCTATAGGGAATACCACCATGTCATGGAGAGGTATCTTTAGTTTCTAAGGTGCCATTACTTAATAAGAAAAAGGCAATCATCCTGAGAGTACCTTTCCCGATACTCATGCCATTCCATAACTTACTTGCATCCAACCCAGTCTCTTCAGCAGCTGGCCTTCATGAAGAAGTCGTCTCACCTGCGCATTCAGTGTTTGGCGTATGCTGCAGTCGAGATCAACATAACGAAAGGTTTCGGTATTGCCAGCAAAAGAGGCTATTGCGTCAGAACTGGGACATGACGCTATATTGTGTTCATATTGTGTTATTTGTTTATAGTTGAAACCTAGCATTTGGTTGGATAAGTGAACCATGGATAGAAACCTTCAAGACACCAGCCGCCATGAAGTGGGGTACAAAGACACAGAGCAGAATAGCTGTTATTCGCGTAGGGGAGAGCTGAGGCAGCGTTATGGCTAGTATGTGACATGAGAGCTATGTCGGGAAGACAACCCCGCATTCAATATGTCCTATTGCATCAGGCAACCCAAACCCTACCCTCATAAGACGAAGTCAAACTATTGTTGTCTCCTGCGTTATGATGCACCTCAAGCCTGTTAGATGATGAGAATAGACACAAATAGGACCATCAAGCTTGCTCCTCCAGCTAGAAGCTTAGAACCCCCAGCAGTAGGCACAGTTGTGGCTATTCCAGTTGGCGTCGAGATCTCTTCTGTGGTTGTAACTGTCACAGCGGCATTGGCATCCACTGCAGACAGGGTTCGCAGCAATTCAGGAGTCGTGTAGGATACGTCATCCGTATCGTAGCTCACAGTTGAGAAAGGAAAAACGGATGCAGGTGAGGCATCCGGGAAGGCGAGACGATCGGTGGGATCAGCAGCTGGTTCGACGGCCGCCCTGTCAAAAGAGGCGTCTCCGGGGTTGAGGACACTAACATCATCAGCTGTTGTCCGTAGAACGGTGAGATGACTTACCCATCAATAACATGGGCGACACCGTTGAACAGTAGGACATTAGTAAAGACAATCCTTGCGCCATTTACCCATGCGGTCCCATCCTCGGCCACTGTAAATGTCAAGTTGGCGCCCTGAAGACTTGGCAAGGTCACGTTGGCCAGTTCCGTCGAGAAAACAACGTCGTCGATGATGTGGTAGGTCAAGACCTCCTTCAAGGTCTCCAGATCGGCACCCTCTAGCACAGAGCCAATCGACTCAAAAGCAGCATCGTTGGACACAAAGACTGTAAAATCAGATATGTTCAACTTGTCGGCTGAGTCATATCCGATGTTCCCAAAGTTATATGGGAGGTCGGCAGCGGTGAGAGCGGCGTTGAACTTGAGGAGGCCGTCACGACGAGTGAAGAGCTGGAGAGGGGCGCCAAAACTCAGGGGCTTGTCGATCTTATGTATGATGACAGTATCGCCGAGTTTAATGTCCTTCATATGATCAGTATACATCGCAGCCAGATGTTCAAACAAAGCCCACTGCTTCGGTCACGTAGGAAAGGGTTTCCTCGCCTGAGATGACAACGATGTCGCCGCCGTCTTTGACGATGCCATTGTATTGGCCACCCGTAAAGTTACCGAAAGGCTGACGTTGATTGACAAAAGTGGCGTCGAGCAGCGTCTGCACAAACATGGGCTTGTTGGTGACGGCTTCGGCAGGATAGTATCCTTGGAAGACGTGGTTAGACAGCAAAGCGCCAATGGCGACGCTGTCGTTTTTAAACTCGATGGCTTCACCCTCGGGAATGTCTCTGGGGACAGAGTTAAAAGCTTTGTTGGTGGGTGCAAAGATGGTAATGTTGCTGGCAGAAGCAAGGGCCTCGGCGATGTCTGGAACCAACGCTAGGAGAGACGCCAGGGTTGAGAGGTCGTCCTGTGAGGAAATCAGGGCAGCCAGGTCAGACTTAGCGACAACGGCCATGGCCAGTGAAGCGAGAGCGAGGAGATGCATGTTAGGGGGGATATTTGCGTTGCTAGAGTTGATGAGGCTGTTGATGCTATTCAGCTGGGTAGCTCAGGATGGCGAGATGGTCCTGATAGAGGTTCATTGCTGGCTATATATACTTCATCAAAGAATGCCACGACGCTCACTTCATCCATCATGAAACGCCAAGAGACACTTCCAAGTCAAGGCGTCATCCATTCCTCGTCCTCGTAAGCAGATGTTCTCATCAACTCACTAAACGCAGAGTGAGTCCATCCCCGTAAAACAGCTGCCGGCGAAAATTGGCCGTCCCCATAAAACCAACCGGGGGTAATAAGCCTAATTGTAGCACAGCCCAGCAGAAGCCACTAACGAATTGGCATCGATGCATAAATCTTGGAGTCGTCTACGTCATAGAGAACTCAGAGCTAGGGTTATCCCTCAGGCGGGGCCAGAGATGCCACAGATGTAACACTATCGAGCCCTTCAATTGGGAGCGCATGCGAGGAGGTTACAAATGTCTATTGTGGCTTAGACTTCCAATCGCACTCTCGGCGACTTCCCTTTGTAGATTTGCCTCATACCTCTCTATAACGGCCTCGTAATCGTCCAGCCAGGTTCCAAGCCATTCGACAGATCCTATGATCCTCGTGTTCCAGTTACCCATGTAGGGATCGAGCTTCAGGAGAGACGAGTTGACAACCATGAGATTGGTCACTGCCTCTCTGATGCGAATCGTGTCCCGAGATAGTACCTGTCCGTACGTGTTGCCTGGCGCTGTCACTGCAACGAATGTCTTGACGAGAACGGAAAGGGCGTAGCTCACTGCCGGTCCAAACCATAGGGATGGCTGATCAAGGATGAATCCAGGTTCCATATTCAGAACCAGCTCGATAACAATGTGGCATGCCTCCACAAGTGACCGCAGTGCTACCTCGGCTGCCCTGGTGACTTCTGGGGGGCGGGCAAACTCGTCAACGTCGATTCTCTCGGCAAGATACGGCGCTCCAAAGAGCATCTTGTTGGTTTCAGTATGTAGTACTGGCTCGTTGACGTAAATGATCACAAGCGTGCGCAAAAAGCGAAGCTGTGGGTGCTTTGCGAGTCGCCTGCTGCCCAGCTGGTCCAGTCTGCCACGAGCATCAGCTTGAGTAGCCCTCACAATGTCCGACTCTATACCATGGAACGAATGGAGATGGCAGAGTTCCAGGGCATTAGCAACTTCGGCATGAAGCCTGACAGTGTAGAGAATCTCTAAGAACAAAGGGTCCAAATGATCCTCTTCCAATGCGTGTAGTGCATCTTGGTGAGACAAGCCCCAGTCTAAGGCATGTACTCTTCTGAGCCCGATGGCTGTCATTGTCGAAGCCATCCAGGAGGCTAGCCAAGTCTGCTGCATCTCTAGTGTTGGATCACCCTGAAGACGGAAGAACCATGCTGCTGGAGAGCTCCGTATGGATGGGCGCCCCAAGCCAAAATCCAAAGCGAGATCTTGTGCTAATGTAACAAGCTGGGTGCTATTCGCGTGTTTGCCATCCAGAGAAGGCTTTGTCCATAAGCCAGCTACCAGCGCAGCCTGGATCAAATCGTGTGAGGGCTTCTCGAGACCGACTGCAACTAAACCGAGGATTTCAAGCAGTCTAGTTCGCAATTCATCTTGAGATTGGGAATCGATAGTGGTGCTGGTGGGCGATAATGTGAAAGCAAACATCGCGGCGAGCTTAATAGGCGTTTCTGTTCTCAAAGACTCCAGCCAAGATCTTGTCGAACTACCGCTGAGCGTGGGAATGATGGGCCAAAATGATCGAACAGCGATTGAGCACGCCTCAAGAGATCTTATCTGAGATTCGTGATCAAGATGTGCATCTACGAATGCGAGACAAGTGCTCCCAGATGGTACAGGCGTCGTCACTGTCGAGGTTCCATGTCTGTATGCTGAAGACTCGGCTGTCTCCAGTCTCTCCTGTAGGTTCTTAACTTGCTCCTCCAGCTCCGCGATCCGATCTCTTTGCCATCGTCTAGCCGCAGGGACACAAATGAGATTAGACCGTGTGCATCGTTCACAGACGCTGGGATCGTTGATCGAGGGCTCGCATTTAGCCTTGAGGTTATGGCAAGCTTCGCAAGCACGCAGTCTTTTCCCCATTTCTGGTGTCTTGTAGACAGCTCTGCGGATAAGACGTTGGAGAGTTGGTTTTGGATCAGCCTTAGCTGTGAGTCGTGGGGGTGAGAGGTGAAAATGGTGGGCCACAAGCGTGAAATGGCGATTCGGAAAGAATGCAGATGAGGACACGAGGTGTCACGTGGTGAAGGAGAATGCCCTCCCCGGAATTGGCTTACAGAGACATAGCTACAACCTAACCCATTTATGTGCTGCTGGCTATGGGAGTGGATAATAATGCCATTGGCTAGATGCCAGCCTGCAAGCTTACCTTGCCGGGGTGATTCTGGCGCTTACAGCGAGACAGTTGATTTTCGGTGACTCTTACAGTGATATTTACCCGAGACCCCGGCTGATCCAAAGAGTGGAAAACCATATCGTCCATCGCTTAAGGGCAAAGGATGTCGCGCTTGAGCCTCGTTCTTTCATCGACATAAACTCAGTATGCATGCTCCAATGATGATCATCACAAGTATCTACAATCAATCCAATCAGCCTACTAGACGGACAAGTCTTAAATACCTCGCCAGCCTCAAGGAAGATTCATCACTTTCCCTCAGGTATCTATCGATATCAAAAGCATCAAAACGCCATCACCATATCGTTTAAATACAGTTAACCATGATCGTAACCTCCTACTTAGGTATTAGGGCCTCTATCTAGTCCAGCTATTTCTTCTTCGAAAAGCTCATTCCTGCTGTAAAGACTCATCATCTCACTTGTTCTTTCTCACCCTCAACCTACTACGGCTCTCACAAACAGCCCCCTCTCTCTTCTCTCTATGCGGCCCCTGATTATCCCTGCGTCAGGCCAATCATTTTCCAAGCCGAAGGGAGCCTATCGGTAATTCGAGTGTGTTCTCCATTGCAGGCGATCGTGTCATCATGGTCCGGCCGACCGAGTCATCCCAAACTATGCCGAACCCCTTGCAGCCTATGCGTTGCGTGTGTGATTAGGGGCAGGGGAAGCTGTGATGGAAAATGCATTTCTCTTCTTCAAGACCCCGAAAGCGCTGTAAAAGTGGTCAACTCGGTAATGCGCTGGCAACGAGTGGAGAGCTCCGTGTAATTCGGCCTGGAACAACTACACTCAGAGCTTTCACATCCTACGTTACCGATCAGTGATCTGCGTCCTAGACTGGACATGCTGTACTCCGGGATGAGCGGATGTCTCGGCTCCATCATGAGTAGGTTCAACTGGAAGCGACCCCGAGCTTTGAGGTTGTGAATAAAGCCAGGCGGAATTGATAGTTAGTTCCAAGACTAACCTATCCCCTTCTGACATCCACGGCCATGGTCCTGGTAGAGTTCAGAATGGCTTGATTATGGAGCCTAACAATCCAGCATTACGGGCCCGTGAGTAACTCATCGATCTTTTAGACAGTTACGCCCAAGTCAAGGTTGTAAACACGCGATGAAAGTACCATACAGAGCAAAGAAATGCTGAGACAAACAAGGCATGAACAAGCAAGGCAGAGACAAGAAATAGAAGAGCGAAAAAAACATTAGCATGCACCTCCAGCAAAGGGGTGTCAAGGATATCATCGTCGATGGCATTGTGAAGCACGCCGCTCACCTCCGCCAATTTGACAGTCTCCTTCGAGATGACTCAACCCCCGCGATGGCGAGCCTCTAGAGTTGGGAAAAGAGCTGAGTCCAGTTGGCGCACCTGAGGCGGTCATGTCTGCGCATACGTCTAAGAAGATAGCTATTGGCTCCACAGATATTGTGATCATCCTGGGCACTGGTTACCTCTCCCTCAACGTCTGATACAGCGGCACGAGCTCAGAGATTCTGATGGGTCCTGGCCTTTGTGAGTCGTCCCGTGCCGTCCCAGACACTCACGGTCTGCAAATTCGGGCAGTGGATCGGAAGTTCTCAGTTCTCGAGTCTGATCGATGCTTGACTCGACGCTATCTGTGGCTTTTGCTATTGCTCCGAAGCCTCTACTAGTATCGGGTGACTCATACTTTGGGCATCTCTCCTAAAACTCCACCTTAGTCGGGAGATTGAGCAACGGTAATTGAAGCCGAAGGGGCGATGGAGGCAACCACTGCTACTGCTTCTGGCATTGGTAGGAAAGATAACTATCTATTTATTTATCAGGATGTGCGTTCCAATTTGACAAGGCCTAGGGAGAAGAGCTGCATTTATTAAGACTACCCTGGCTCTTGGCCTATGGCAGCGCCACGTAGTTACTGTGGCCTCGTGTTGCAAACCCAGCCAGGGCCGAGGTCATTGTGTCTTGATTCTTTCATGTGTCCCCCAGTTCGTTAGTCTCCCCGGCAACTGAGCCATGACTGAGTCCCAGTTGGATCATCAGGATGGACTCGGCTTCGGTTCCCCTGATGCCTCGATGTAGAGTTAGTCTGATGACATCCATAGAGCCTGGAACTGGAGGCAGAGAAATGTGGGAGAAATGCGGAAGAATTGACGCTATTAGTAGAATCCAGGAAGTGTGTGACGCCAGATTTCACCACCACCAAACATTGAAGGTTAACGTCAGGCAGGAAGAGGGTTCTTGATCGAGAGGACGGTGAATGTATGGCACGAGAATTTATATATATGTAGCGAAGTAAATCGTTTTCATCTGTGCTAAGAAGAATGAAAGGACTAATTCATCGCGTGGTTGGCTAGGTTCATTTCCTGTTTACAAACACATGGCATGTCGTCATGAATTGTGAATGTAAGTGAGCCAATTCTCGGATTAACTATGAGTATGAGCTCTCAATCTCCGCTATTAAGCTCATCAAAGTCAATCAAGTAGATTGGGCAAACTTCATCGATAATCTCATAAGATAACTCACATTTGGGTGGTCAAAGACTCTGAACTACGTCCCTACCCTACATGTTTATCGTAAGTGTGCGCTGCTAAATAAACCGGTGGCTGAAGCCCTAAGTCACATCACGTGAAACCCAGACGAACCGCAGCTGATCCTCTTGAAGGCACTGGAACTCTTGCCAGCAGGGTCGACAAGTTGACTCGCATTGTTGAGGGTATTGACGATGACTTGAAGTCCCGGGGCAACGAGGGGGGCATCTTACTTAACGCTAGAGAATGATGAATATCAATAACAGAGGTGAGTTTGAGCTCTCTTTTGCATCTATTAGCTAGACTTCAGAGAAGTCATCACTAACTAAGCTGTTCCTATAGCTCTCCCTGGCACCGCAGGGTATCAATTGGTACCCCTGAATTTGTAGGACTAAGAGTTGCTTACGGACCTGATGAACAATATAAGTGAGATTTAAGTTATATGTAAGGACTAATAAACTGTCTCGTGTAGCCTGAGAGTGAGTTTCCTGGCTTACTTATACCACTTCCCGTCTGAAGCCAATGAACCATCTGTAGCGACTTCTGAGGCTGAAGGTAGGGGATCCTTTTAAGATATCTCCCTGAAACAGTAGTTATACTCAGGTGATTCGTATCATCAGCATCAATTTGGCCAATCGATGTTTGTCGAGGAATTCATCGCTGATGGTTGGGGAGGGGTGTTGGTGATATCACGTGATGATGAAAAGCGGCATGATGAAAACATTGACAATGCTCTTAGAACTACAGGATTCGAGTACATCCAAGTTTTGAAAGCTTTACTGAAGGCGCTATTTTCAAGATTTGCCAGAAGACTCATATGATAAAAAGTTAAAGTGATAATAGATAATGAAATATAATATAATAAAAATATTAAAAATGCTCTTAGAATTGCAAAAATATAGCATTTTTAGGCTTAAGTAGCTTTATTAAAGATATTATATATTAGAGTTTTACTAAAATAAATAGCTAAAGTAATAATAAAAAGTTAATAGGATAATAAAATATCGCCGTGATGAAAAAAACATAGGATTAACTAACTAGAGAATTAGTAGAATAAAAGCCCTAGATATATACCTTTCCTAACATGCCTTAATATTTATAAAAGTCTAGGCTATTTATTTATAATAATAAAAATATTAATAATAAAAATAGGAGATAATAAAAATGTGGCATAATAAAAAGGATGATTAATAATAAAGAGTCCAAAGTGGGAATAAATTTTTATTTCTTAAGGCACTAGATAACATTGATGTCTTGTAATGCTAATACGGTTGCCTATCGTCCAGCGCTATGAGCGCGATATTCCACATCCCTTCCGAATCACTGGGCACTGCAGCGATGTTGAGAACGTGGTGAAGACGATAAACACGAGTGGCGAGTGTGTGTGAAGATGGGGCTTTTACCATCTTTGATCCTTCTTTTGGGGTTGAATTCTTGTACATGAAATGTTTAGTTGTTACTGAGAGGGCAAAGTTGATGGTATTTCCTGGTGTCAGAAGGTGACATTTGACTTGTGTGACGAGACTGATTCAAGGGCTCATCTACATAGCCAGTATGACTTTATAGTTGATTAATAGGCTATTCTGGATAAAATAAATCTCACAAATAAAGGCATGACGAGCAGCCACGTGTGGTGCATTGCATGGCGGGGGCTGTGGAGTGCATGATGTAGAATAGGAGTTTGGTTCCTGTGCACACTATCCTACGCGCTCACCTGATAAAACCTGTAGGTGGCCTTCTAATAATCAGCAAACGAGGAGGATCAGAGTCTTTTTGCATGTCTAACGTAGGCCAAGCTGGATATTTCAGGCCACTCGTGTGTGCCATGATAGAATGACGATGGACTCAATGGGTAGCTCGCACGGTTGAAGGATCATGAGAGTAGGCTCTCCTCTTCGAATTTGAGCAATGGCTCTCCGGAACGAAGTCATTTCAATCTTCCTGAAATGGGGAAACATCTGGGGTATCACGTGAGGGCATTTACGATGGAAACAAGTCGGGCATACGATTTCCTCGGCCCCCATGTCTTTGGGTAAGATCGATCTCACTGAAGCGGTAGAACCCCCCGCCACTATGATCCCTGACTCGCACGGACACAACTTGTGATGGGCCAGCTGTAAGGTTTATTGGAATTGCTACAACTGAACTCCCGCGAAATGCACTTGTTTTCATAATTAATTGTGAATTGGCACCGGCTGATGCTCGGGGTAATTACTACCTACCGATGTTTGCCTCTGGCCGTCACGTGACCAACCACAACTCCACCCATGAGTCGCATCCGCATCCTTTGTTTGTCTTCCACCTTTCCATCATTGGTTCTGAGCGCTCTTTCCCCTGTTCTGTGTCTTGGAATTGCAGATCCATTTGTGATTCATCCTACTTCTCGTCATTTACCTGCTTTTGCGGGGGCTTCAAATATGGCAGAGGACAGTCAAAGACTCAACCACTGTTTAGTTGAGCTTTTGAAGCCCCAACAAAACCAACAAGCGATGGCAATGGGGGATAAAGACAGGCAGTTACCCATGCCTGCGGCAAGCATCACCGCACAATCTGCACCTTGGCGTCGAGTGGCCTGTCCAGCAAAAGGTTTCCCTGCCTGCAGGATCCGTCCTCTGATCCTGCAATCCCCACCTCGATCAGATGATATCCTGCCCCCAAGCGCTCCCTTCACAATGCCTGTCTATCTTACGGAGCATGTAGAACTCCAGGGTTTGCGCGATGATGACGTCCCTGATGGTCTTGTGTTCTTCCGAAAGCCATGAAAGAGTAGATCCACACTGCTCTCTGAGGTCTTCGAGTGATGGGAAGTGGAGGTAGAAATTGTCAAGCATCCATCCGTCGGCAATTGTTTGGTCAATCTCTCGCTTGAGCTTGGCCTGTTGGTCCTCCGCTGCTGAGAGGAGTATGACACCTCGCTCCACTCTACGTCTCATGTTTTGAAGGCGGACAAGAGCGATTTCTTGCAGAAATGGGAATGCATCTCGGACTCGGGCAACGGCATCCCTAATGTGCCTCCACTCAGTCGTCTCGAGCGAAGTAGCTTCGACAACCTGCTCGACGCAAGCATTGGCGTCTTGGAGCAGCTCGCAAACTTGGTCAAGGGCCTCCTTGTAGTATGTGAGGTCGTAGGCTTGGTGCAAGGTGGCATCGTCATCTTGGCCTCGGTGAGCGCGAGTGAGAGAGTCATGGCATATGTTGATAATTTGGTGGGCTGTCCTATTGGTCTCCTGTTCCTCAGACCATCGCTTGGACCTCAGAATATCGTTGGGCGTCGGCGTTCTTATGCTCGGGCATATCGTGGATAGAGAGGCCGAGTGTGCAGAGGATGAGGCCCCTTGTATCGGTCAGTATACAGGCCCTGCAAGTTCATGCGTGACTCACTCTCTAAAGAGAGAGGAAACAAACTCGCGGTCAAGGTTGGGAGGGTGTGGTGAGGAGAAAGAAATTTTCCTTTTGAGGTGGACCACCGAAACTGTGTGCTATCGTCCTTGGTGAAGCGGAAAGAAAGGGGTCCATTGTTGGCAATATCAACCAGATCTGAGAGGATCGTTGTGAGGACCTTTTCCAGGTCTTCCAAGAAGAAGTCTTCAGGGACGAAACTGCCGTTGGACATGGTGTCGCACGGTTTGTATCGAGAGTAAAAGGAGAGCCAGAAGACCAGATCAGCGTGGTGGCATTGTTGCTATCTGCCAAGTGTAAAGGTCCCTCCAAGGGACGAAGACCGGGCAGGCATCTCCACCCTGGGTCCTCCTCAGACACCTCGCCGAACAAGATGACCCGCGATATAGACATGAGGGTCGTCTCGAGGTTTACAATCTGGTCAAACCAGTCAACAGGTCGGAAAGGTAAGGCGAGAGGGTCTCATAGGGCGATCTTTGGGCTTAGTTAACCCATTAAGGGCTAGGCTATAACTATAATAAAAAATAGATCTTAAATATATTATAATATTATAACCTAATATTAATATAATAGCTTAATTAAACTTTTATAATAATAAAAGAGTTATACCTAATTACATTATTATAAAAATTCTAGCTTTTTATAAATATTTTAATTATTTTAGTCTCTATATAAAAAATAAAAAATAATTTTTTTTTTTTTAAGTTATAATCTCTTAATATTAAGTCTTTAAATATAATACTAAGAATTATAATTAATTAATAATATAACCTTAATATTATTATTATTATTATTATATATAATATATAAAACTATTAAAGCTTAAAGGATTTATAAAGTCTATAAAGCGCTATTTTATTAAGGCGATAATAATAAATATAAGCTAAATTAATAGCCTATTAGAGCTAATTATAATATTGAAGCCGCTAAGAAGATATATATAAAGTAAGGAAGTTAGGGGGAGGGAATTAAGGTTTTTAAGTTCTTAAGTTATAGGAGTAACTTAAGCTATTAAGGAGAAAGGTTTTAGTCGTAAAGATATAAAGGTTTAAGTAGTAACTAAGGAGTATAGGCTTAGTTAGAGCTTAAATATAATATCTCGGCGAATTACTAAACCTATTAGTTAGCGCATATATTATCTTTAAATATAATAGTCTCGTAGGGCGAATAGCGCCTAAAGGGGAAGGGATATTATAAAGGGTATGATTAAAGTTATTAAACCTATATTAAGTGAATTAATTAATTAAGCCTATCTATATGATTTTTGCCCCTCTCTTAGGCTAATGCCTTATGCTATTCCTATTTTAGAGGGTGCTATATTACGTGACCTTATCTTAATTAATTTCGCAATTTATTTTACTAAGATATAATATAGAACCCTCTATATATACTTATATATATATAATAGCTTTAATTTAATATACCCCCCTAAAGTAAAAAGCTTTTAATACTCTAAATAATAATTAAAGTCCCTTATATTATATTTAATATCCTTTAAGTAATTTCCTTTATAAATTTCCTTATTTATAAGGCATTTTCGCCTAATATATATTATTATATTATTTAAAGTTATAGCTAAAAGAGAAAGTATTTATTTAGCTAGATAAAAGTCTTTTTCCTCTTTAATTAATTATAAATAGCTTTGAAGTTATAAAATAAAAAGGGAAGTATTTATTTAAATAAATAAAGGCCTTTTCTTTCTTTAATTAATTATAAATCGCAAATAATAAATAATTTACTTTTTTATTAATTATAATTTATATTTAAGGCTTATAGATAAAATACCTTCTTACCTTAGGCTTCCTTTTTTTTTTTTGTTCTTTAATTTATTATATATTTTTAATATATAACTTTTTAGATTACCTTATGCCTCTCTTTTATAAGCTTACTTTAAGTATAATATCTAGAGTTTTCTAAGGGAATAAACTAGGCATATTAGGTTTATTATTAATAGAGAGTCTCGGCGTTACTATATAATAAGGCGGTTATATCTTAATAATAGGTTAAGAAAGTCTTAAAGGTAATAAAGTCTATTAATAGCTTAAGGGCTAAGTATTTATCTAAGGCATAATAATTATTATATATATATAAGGGGCCTCGTATTTATAGAAATAAGGTCTCTTATAGTTAGTATATTAAGAAGGGAAAATATAGGGAATAAAAATAATATATAATAAGGGATATATTAGGCTATAATATAATTTCTCTTCTTTTATTAATTCTTACCCTTAAGATTATTTTCTTAGGCTAAGGTTCTTTTAATTAATTAATCCTAACTTCTTCCTATAAAATATTCTTATATTAATATAATATTAAGCTATATTAATAAAAGAAAATCTATTAATCTAAACCGCGATATAATTATATATTATTTAATTACTATTAGAATTAATTAATTTAATTATAAAGTTATATTTTATAATTACTATAAAAAGAGGGGTATTTTATATAAGATATTAGAGGGTTATCTTAAGTATAATCTTTATATTAACTTAGGATATCCTTATAATATTATAGGTATTTTATTATTATTATATAAGCTCTTTATTTAGTTATATAGTCTTTTTATTTTTTAGCTAATATACTTTATAGTAAGTTAAATTATTAATAAGGCGAAAAGGTTAGATAATTAAGAGGCTATTATTAAGGCTTTATTAAATTCTTATTATAAGAATCTTAAATATATTTAATATAAGTTAAATAAATTATTATCTTAATTAGAGTTATATTAGAGGTAAAAGTATTTATTAATATCTTATAGGGTTAAATTAATAAAGAAGGGGATTAATATTCTTAAAGAATTAAAATAGGTTAATTAATAAAAATCTATATTAATTAAGGATATTTATATTATAATCTATATAGATTTTTTAAATTTTAATTTCCTTAATACTTTAAGTATTTTTTTAATTATTAATAGAAGTTCTTTAGGAGGTATTATAAATTTATAAGGTATTTTAAGGGTTCTTAAGTATTCTTAGATTTAAGGTAATCTTTTTATTTAATTAAATATTCTATTTTATTATTATTTCTTCTTATTTTAATAATTCTTTTAGCTATATATTTTTTAGTTTATTAACTTCTTAGGGTTTATTATAATATTTAATATAAATAATATCTTTAATTATTTTAAGTAGGGAAATATAAAAAATTAGATAGAACTTAACCTTAGGGGGTAAGTCTAATTTATAGTTATTTTTTCTAATTCTCTTAAAGATCTTAAAGGGTCTAATATATTTATAATTAAGTTTTTTATTTTATTATTTTATTATAATA